CCCCCTACTGCATGCTCTTTCTCTCTTCCTCCTGGCTTCCACCCCCTAATCTGATCTGTTTTGCTATGCTCTTAACCCACATGGTACCTGAACCCTCTGAAATGGAGCCAAAATAAATCTTCCAAGCTTAAGTTCTGGTCCATTAGTCTGTTACAATGATGAGAAAATAACCATCATTCCTATTATTTTGTTGTGAGACAAGGTCTCACTATGCATCCCTGACTGTCCTTGGAATTCTGCTTGGGCCAGGCTGGCCTTAAACTCATAGAGATCCACCTGCCTCTGCCTCCTTAGTGCTGGATGGGTGTGTGCCACTAGGCTCAGCTACACTTGCTATTCTTGCAGAACCCTTGGACTCTGTTCCCAGCACCCACATCAGGCTCACAGACCATTGTAACTCCAGCTCCAGGGCATCCAGTGTCCTCTTTTTGCCATGCATAGGTGCACACACATTAAAACAGAGCTTAAAAATAAACTCTCCTCAACATCTCATGCCCATGCTGTTTCTTATAAACATTTGTTTAAAGTCAATTGTTTGTCTTAGTAACTTCCCTACCACTCAGGCAGACATAATGTTATTAAACAGTTGGTTGGCTGTTTTTGACAAACAGTTCTGGAGAAAAAGCTGTTTTTACTATGTGAACTGAATCAGGTTAATAGAAAAAGCCTTGCTATTGGGAGTCTGCCAGGAAAATAGCAGAGAACCCAAGCCAAGCTGTGAATTTATCCTTTCCTTTTCAGAGACTGTCAGATTGTTCCAGAACGGCAGTGGTCTCTTCTTCCTACTCCTCTTGCCTGACCCCTCCCTCCCTCCCCTCTTTCTCATTTTTATTTGTTTTTGAGAGAGGGTATAACTGCAGTTCTTGTTACACTGGACCTCACTATGTAGATCAAGTTGGCCTTGAACATATGGCGAACCTCCTTGGCCTCTTATGTGCTGGCATTGCTGTTAGGCTTCAAACCCTGAACGAATGGCTGAGGTGCCCTACCTCTCACAGGGCCCTCCTGGCTGCCATACTCCACCCCTATCTTGAACTCTCCAGGCCAGGGGGCTGGGCTGCTTGTCCCCGTACAATCCAGCCATTTTGATTGCTTCCTCTTCTCTTTGTATCTTTGCATCTCCTGCTCCAGGCTACTACACCTGGTTCCCCTTTCTCCCTTCCATTTCCCCTCTCCCCATCTGAACACGTTCTCTCCAGACTCCTCCAGATGCTCCTGTCCCTTCCTCTATCTATAATAACCCTCCTCTATCATACCTAAGAACAGTTGTGTTTCCTTCCCTTTGTATTTCTTTTCTTCATTCAATTACAGACATGAGTTACTAAGTCTGACAGCATGTAATCCTGGCTGTCCTGGAACTTGATCTGTAGATCAGGCTGGTCTCCTGAGATCAGAGATCTACTTGCCTCTGCCTCTGGAATGCCGGGCTTAAAGGTGTGTGCCACCACCACCAGGGCCATTTCAAGGATATTTCTACAGTGTTGTGTCACATGACTCAGGGCAAACAAGACAGGTGTCAAAAGGACATTAGCCTTTTCTGTATTTTCTTACTGTTTATTGAAAGGGTGTATATTTGCCTGGCAGTGGTAGTGCATCTCTTTAAGTCCCAGCACTCAGGAGGCAGAGGCAGGCAGTTTTCTGTGAGTTTCAGCCAGCCTGGTCTACAGAGTTAGTTCCAGAACAATCTCCAGAGTTACAGAGAAACCCTGTCTTGAAAAACAATAACAAAAGAGTATATTTATGCCAATTTGAGGGTTAAAAACCAAGTTATGAGGAAGAGAAACCTAGGGCTAGAGAGAAAGCTCAGAGGTTAACAGTATCCACTACTCTTGCAGTAGACCAGGTTCAGTTCCCAGCACCCACATCTGGTGACAGGTGATAAAAAGTCACTTCAGAAGGGGTGGTGCCCATTACCAGAGGTCCAAAAGGCTTCCAGCAGGTCTGTCAGCACTAAAGCATGCCTTTATCTAAGCACATCTCTAACCTGCTGTTATTATGCTCATGCAATGAGTCTTAGGGACAGGGTTGGGAAAACTTCCCATAGCCAAATATGAGGACATTTCTGGCCTGGAAGCTCCTTTCTCCTGCTCCTATACTTCAGTTACATTCTGCAGGTCCCCTATTAAAGACCTGAGAAGGTAACCCCAAAAGTGTAAGCTTAAAATCAAAGACTGCTATATTAAACGTTTTGTTGACATTAGTCCTAACGAAGGCTATGATGAGAACACTGGCTAAAGCTCTAGGCCGGTTGGAGGTACATTTGACCAATAAATGCATTCACCCCCCCCACCCCCTCCCATCCCCCACCTCACCCCCCCATCCAGGCTATGGGATGCCAGTCCCTGCACTGTGTCAGGTGTTTCTCACTTAGATTTTTGTTTCTATTTAGTGTGAAAATGCTTTTTAAGTGCTCTGCTATACAGCAGGATTTCTTAAAGGAGTTTTTTTTTGTTTGTTTTGTTTTGTTTTTTAAAGTTTTCTCAGGCCCTATGGAAATTCCAGCCTCATGGTGGGACTTCAAAATACTGTTGTTGGTTTTTTTTTTTTTTTCTTTACTCTTTACTCTGCTTGGGGGGGGGGCTGCCAAATAATGACATAGAGGCTTATTATTTCTTATGAATGCCCTGGTCTTGGGGCTGGAGAGATGGCTCAGTGGCTAAGAGCACTGGCTGCTCTTCCAGAGGTCCTGATTCCCAGCAATCACATGGTGGCTCACAAGTATCAGTAATGAGATCTGGTGCTTCTTCTGGCCTACAGGCATGCATGCAGGCAGAGCACTATGTATAACAAAAATAAAATAAATCTAAAAAAAAAAAAGCATACTCTTAGCTTGGCTTGTTTCTAATTAGCTTTTCTAAACTTACATTATTCCTCTACCTTTTGCCTCTGGGCTTTTTTCTTTTCTTAGTCCTACATATCTTTCACTCTTACTCCATGGGTGGCTGGGTCCCCTGAAGTCCTCCTCCCCTTGTTCTATCTTGCTCCTTCTTCCTTTTCCTAGAGTTCTCTTCCTATTTATTCCTTTTGCCTGCCAGTCCTGCCTCTTTCCTGCCTCTCTATTGGCTGTTCAGCTCTTTATTAGACCATCATGTGTTTTAGACAGGCAAAATAACACAGCTTCACAGAGTTAAACAAATGCAGCATAAAAGAATGCAACACATTTTTTTCATAATTAAAACAATGTTCCACAGCATGAACAAATCTGAGACTCCTTAAAATAGCATTCCATAACACACAGGTATTCCTAATCACTTGGGTGTCAGTTCATTCCAGATGTAGTCAAATTAACAACCAAAAATAGCCATCACATATATACACATTTTAAAGACCCATCATTAAATAACCCTGTTTGCTGGGTATTTAGCTCAGTGGTAGAGAGCTTACCTCCCCTGCATGAGGCCCTGGGTTTAATCTCCAGTACTTTGTTTATATATACAAAACTCCTTACACAGGATTTGATAATCCAGAATAATCAGTTGATTAAACGTTAACCTAATTCCCTCTTCTATGGGTTCTTGAGAGTTAAAATGTGGACAATTTCATGAAGTCATTATTTTGGCTGCTACTGTACTAACAATGACTTGAAACTTTGGTACATTTACTGTGTATTAGGCAGGAAGTATAGAGGTAGGAATGCTTAAGGGTCAACTAGCAGGTTAACTATAGCATCAGAAAGCACACTCTTTCCCTTTTATCTAGTCCCTTAGCTTTCTGTCTCATTGTTTGTCACAGTCCAAAGACCAGGCCATTGTGTTTCTAGCATCAACATGTTCAGCTCTGGGAAAATGGGGAAGGATGGGGTAGCCTATTGTCTTAGCTCTGTTCCCTTTAATCAGAGAGCTGAGAACATTCCTCCCACAATCTTTCTAGTCTTTCTCTGAGGCTTGTCGCCATCTAGTTGTTGGACAATCTTTAAGATTGAGCATCTGGCAAAGAGAACGAAATTATCCTGTCCTGGCAGGGGCCCTGTGCAACCCTGAAGCCAAAACAAAACCCAAGTTCTTTGAGGAAGAGAAGACAGCATTAGGTGTGTTGTGGGTGGAGAGCTAGGGACATCTTGTTGTTGAATAAGTGAATGACACAGGTTATTAGAACCTACTCCTTTAAAAAGACTTTTTTTGTTGGTAGTGATTTGGGAGGAAATATAGAAACTTTAAAAAGCACTTAAGGATAGAAATCTATTCTTCAGTAATGAATTTAATTAAAGAGCACATACCAAGCCAGAACTGGGTGTGAGGTATATCTACACTGTGAGGCAAAGCACTTACTTGAGTGTGTGAAGCATGGTAAGGAATCCTCTCCCTGACCCCCCCCCCCAAAAAAAATCAGAAATCAGGAACTTGGGGAGTTGTAAACCTTGTGTTTAGTATGATAGAGTCCCTGGATTCAATCCTCAACACACACACACTTCAGAATATATGTGTGCATTTATATATGTACATATACACACACATACAGATAGTAGGTAGATAGATAGATAGTCTGTTTGCTTTTCAAAACGTGCCTTCTCTGTAATCCTGGCTGAGGTGGAACTCACTCAGAGATGCGCCTGCTGACCTTGTTCTCAATCCCCCTACCTCATATGAGTAATCACATGTCTGCATGGGAAGACTTCAAGCAACAATTGTGCCTCTCAGACATCTCATGAACTTCATTAAATGTACTGCCACAGGAGGGTGATATATTGCAGAGTTCTGTGTCTGGCATGAAAAATATTTCATTTAGCTAGTGTGAGACAGAGTTTCTCTGTAGCCCTGAGTGCTGGGATTAAAGGTGTGTGCCACCATCACTCTGCTTAATTTAGCTAGTATTTTAAAACAAATTAAATGCAAAGGCTTTAAAATGTAGGGGAATCACATATCTTTAGGTGCAGGTATGTTGGAATAATTGTTTGCCTTTTATCTGGGAGCCATTAACTGTGCCTGTATATAAAGTAAAACATTAACTATTATTTTTTTAAACAGCAGGAAGTGAAGCAGGTTCCAGCAAGGCTGAGACAGAGCGGGTGAGGAAAATGAAGCTCCCAATTTTCATAGCAGATGCGTTCACTGCAACAGCTTTCCGTGGCAATCCTGCTGCTGTCTGCCTCCTCGAAAATGTAAGTACTCGGTTCTCAAGGGCCTTGTTGAAGTTCTAGATGTGTGGAAAAGATGTGAGACCACCCTGAGTGCTTGCTTCTTTGGCTTGTGTTTTCTGTCATGTTGGTGATGGTCATGTGTTCAGGTTAGGACGGGAATGGCTATACCTAGACTGAGTTGGAAGCATAGAGATTGGCATGCAGAGGAACTGGAGCCCATTGAAGAGTTGAAGAGGCGGCAGCACAGAGTGGGGGACCAGGCCTGTGAGTCTGATGTTCCAAAGGATATGGCAGGAGGATCATGAGTCTGAGGCCAGCATGGGCAATATAGAGAACAATCTTATAAAAATAAAAAGTAATAAATAATCAAGCAATTATTTTATAAAGGAATGACTGGAGCTCCTCTTCAGTATTATGTTTTAATTAGCACCAAAATGTAAGCACAAAATCACAGGAGATCTGTGAGTAGGAATGGCTGAACAGTTATGTGACATTTCTATGTGGACATTTTTGGGGCTTTCAGCAGGGGCAGGTGAGACAGGCTCGACGATGCTACCCTGACTGACTTGGAACTCCCTATGTAGCCCAGGCTACTCTCAGACTCTACCTATCTCAACCTCCAGAGTGCTGGGCTTTCAGGGTTCATTATTATGCCTGGCTGCTGCCTTATCTATACCTCAGAAATGTAGACATTTTCTTCAGGGCCTGGCAAGATGACTCAACAGGTAAGGGTGCTTGCCATTAAGCCCTATGACCTGAGTTCAATCCCTGAGACTCATGGTGAAAAGAGACAACTTATTCTTTTTTTATTTATTGATTGATTTTATGTACACTGGTGTTTTGCCTGCATATATATCTATGTGAGGGTGTCAGATCTTGGAGGTACAGAGTCATGAGCTGCCATGTGGGTGCTGGGAATTGAACCTGGGTCCTTTGGAAGAGTAGCCAGTTCTCTTAACTGCTAAGCCATCTCTCCAGTATTCTAGAGAGCTGACTTTTGCAAAGTGACCTTTGGCTGCATGCATGCACAGTGTGTGGGACCTGTGAGAGTGGTCTGTGAGTAAAACCTGCTGCCAAGCCTGACTACCTGATTAGATCTCTAAGTTCCACATGGTAGAAGGAGAACAGAGTACCTGCAAGTATCATCTGATCTCTACACTTGGACACAGACACACACACACACACACACACAGTCACATACACACTCAACACACACTGACACACACACATACTCATACACATATAACACTCATACACATACACACTCACACACAACACACACATAACACTCACATACATAAGAAATAACTGGAGCCAAATAAAAAAGAGGAAGTGGCTTTATCAGGAGGGTCATGAGTTTGTGGCCAGCCTGGGCTACATAGCAGGCTATAGGGACTATTAATGATAACTGTTTCAAAAAATAGAATAAAATATGTATCTTACCTTTTTACTTAGAGCAGTTAGCATAAAGGAGTTGATTTTTGGGAGCTAGAGAGATGAGAGAGATGAGCCTCCTTTCATCTCAGCTATGTATCCATCAAGTAATCCTCAGCCAGCACTTTCCTTCCACCAGCTGCAGGGTAAAGAATTACTAGGCTTTATCTAATAATGCAAGAGCTTGGGAAGATTAGCAAGAGAATAGTTAACAACCAGATCCCAGATTCCAAAATTGGAACCTCCTATAGGCTTAATCTAGCAAGCACAACTTCCTGCCAAACAATTGTGGAATCAACTGTAATTGCCTATCAAGAATCTAATCATATTTGTTCCATGTCTCCATGTCACTCATATATATATTTATATATAGAAGTACATATGTATGTATATATGTATGTGTGTATACAGATATACATATCTATAGATGTAAATATATGCATATGTGTACATATAATAGCTGTGTTTTCACCAGATAATAATTTGAGTTGTTTCATAACTTTGATTATCTTCAGAACACTAACATCAATAAACACTGTAACTAAAGATCTATCAGCTGATGGGAGTTGTCCTTCTGTACATATGTTTCTCTTATTGGTTGATAAATAAAACACTGTTGGGCCAATGAGGCAGGAAGATAGGCAGGACTAGGAGAGGAGAAGTCTGGCTGGGAAAGGTAGGAGGAAAGCCCACCAGAGTCAGTCACCATGTAGCAGGTAAAGGTATTGCAGGTCCATCATTCTCCGGTAAGCCAAGACCATGTGGAAATACATAGATTAGAAGTTATGAGTTAATAATTAAGACAGAGATAGCCAAAAAGAAGCCCTAGCCACCAGCCAACAGTTTAATAATTGATAGTGTGTTCATTTGGGGCAAGGTGGCTGCTGAACCAGGCAGGAAACCCTGTAACAATCAATATAATGTTTTTTTAAAGACAGAATTTCTCTGTGTAGCCCTGGTTGTCTTGGAACTCATTCTGTAGACCAGGCTGGCCTCAGACTCACAGAGATCCATCTGCCTCTGCCTCCCGATTGTTGGCATTAAAGATAATGTGCCACTATGCCAAGCATATGTCTTTTGATGCCAATAAGCTGCTATGTTGAGTCAGATCTGTGTTTTCAGGTTCTCAATAACCTTGTTGTTTTCTATTTAAGACATTGGATGAAGATTCTCATCAACATATTGCAAGGGAAATGAACCTCTCTGAAACTGCTTTTATCCAAAAACTGCAACCTACTGACAACTTCACACAAAGTAAGTATACACTTAAATGTTTTGTTGTGTGCGTGCACGGGCATACACCACAGCATTTGTGAGTTTGGAGGACAGCTTATAGGAGTTGATTCTTTGGTTCAACCATGTAAATCCTAGCAATCAAACTCAAGTCATTGGGACCTTTCCTGGGAGGGAGAAGAATGTCTGTCTGTCTGACCTGTGCTCACCCCTTCATGAAGGTTTACCTGTTAGCCACGCTAATGATTTAGGGAAGAAGATGCTGAGGCATGTTTAACCTAACTGTGGGTCTGATCTTGCTTTTCTTTTATCTTCACTCCTCTAAAGGTTCCCATTTTGGACTAAGGTGGTTTACTCCTGAGAGTGAGTTCCCACTATGTGGCCACGCCACCCTGGCTTCTGCGGCTGTGCTGTTTCACAAAAAAAGTACTGTGGACTTTACTTATCTATGGTTGTTTGTTTGTTTTGTGATAGGGTCTCATTTAGCTCAGGTTGACATTGAACTTCTGGGTTAGATGATGGTGGCCTTGAAATTCTGGCGGATTCTACTCTTTCCACCTCTCAAGAATTACAATTATAGCACCTACCACCATGGCATAGTATGTGAATTTCTTTTTAAAACATATTTTACTTGCATGTGGCTGAGGGAGCTGCATGACCAGAATGGACATAGCTTTCAATGTAATATCTAAAAAATAAACGCAAGCCATTCTCCACATAGTGCCCCAATGACCTTAAAGTCATACTTTTTAAAGTTTGTTTATTTTGAGATTAGGTCTTATATAGCTCCTTATACACCCCAAATAGTCTTGAACATCTTCTCTTTCTGCCTTCACTCCCAAGTCTTGTTATTACAGACTTTCACTACCACAAACCATTTACACATTGATACTGGTGGAACCCCAGCTTTGTGCATGTTAGGAGAGCACTCTACCAGCTGGGCCACATCCCCTGCCCTTTTCTCAAAAACAGGTTCTTGCTACACAACCCTGTTTGACCTGGAACTTGCTCTTTAGACCTGGTGGGACTTGAACTTGCAGCCTTCCCACCTGATGCTGGCTGGGATTATGGGTTGAGTCACCACACCCAGGTCCTCAAACAGCAATTCAAAATAACTACTTTACTGTTGTGATTACTGAGCACTGGACTAACCCAAGGCTTTCCTCGAGGCGTGGCAGAGCTGGAAACAGCCTGGGATCAAGGCTTCAGATCTTAAGAACCCAACTCTCCTCACCCTGTAGGGCTACAATTGTCATCCCAGGATCAGTGTGTGCCTGCTCTGTGAAGCTCTGGAGATACCATGTTCACCTCATATAGCATTGCTTGATTAGCTCCCTGCTGACTTCATCTAGTTGTATCATAGTCTCTGCCAACTTTGCCCCATTTCCCCCGGAACTAGTCTGCAAGGTTCTATACTTCTCTTTTTTGGGGGGTGGAGGGCGTAGAGACAGGGTTTCCCTGTATCTCTGTTTTGCTTTGGAGCCTGTCCTGGACCTCAAACTCACAGAGATCTGCGTGCCTCTGCCTCCCTAGTGCTGGGATTAAAGGTGTGAGCCACCAATGCCCAGCTGGTTCTGTACTTATTAATTAAGCTTACTTGGCCTAGGATGCAGCTTCTCCGAGATCTCCTGAACTCTCCTGTTCTATCTTCTTTATTTATGATCCCCTGGACCTTCCTTCTCAAGATCCTGTCACTGAAGAATGATGTGCTGGTCCAAATCAATTTTCCCTTTGTTTTTATGCACATATGTGTTTTTGTCTACATGTATAGCTATACATCATGTGTGGGTCATGGTTGTAGAGGCCAGAAAAGGGTGTTAGATCAGCCAAACAAGTTTTGATTACATTATAATTAGTTAATTAACTTTTGTGCGTGCACAAACAAATGCCACAGTGTACATGTGGCAATAGAAGGACAATTTTCACAAATCTGTTATCTCCTTCTACCTTGTGGGGCTGGAGTATTGAGCCCAGGATGTTAGTCTTGGCTGCAGGTGCCCTTATCCACTGAGCCATCTAGCTGAAACTCAAAGAGCAATTTTAAAGGTCAACATTTTAGGAATTGGATAGATGGCTCAGTGGTTAAGAGCACTAGTTACTCTTCCAGAGGACCTGGGTTCCACTCCCAGCACCCACATGCTAGCTTACAAACTCTCTCTAACTCTACTCCCAGGGAATCAGTGACCTCTGAGAGCAGCATACACACATGGTGCACACAGACATACATGAAGCAAAAACACTCATACACATTAATTTTTTTGCCTTCTAAAAATAAAAACTAAAATCAAACATTGTAATAACACAAAAACAAAGAGATACTGATTTGATACTTATATGCTGACAAATGGCAATCAAAAAACGTTAAACACTTTTACTTCCTGTAAGTAAACAATTATGTTTCTGTAAGAAAAATGCATTGTATGTGCAGTAGAAATGGTGTAATTTATAATATACCATAGACTCAGATCTTAGCCTATGTGTTTCATTGGGTACAAAGTACAAAGTGTGCATATCTCAAGGCCATAGTTAAGTCATACCACACAACATGTGTGAGCCCAGCCAGAAACACTTTCTTTTCACTACACAGATGATTTTGAGTTAACTTTGGTTGTTGTGTATTTAGAAGCCATGTACTATTGACACATTCTTTGCAACATCCACATTCAGTTACATGACCCCATATGAGGTTGTGACTCATGGTTTAAGAAGGTGGACAATAGACAAGGACCTTGAGCTGAAGAAAATGAAATCTGTGCTCTGAGCTAGATCCAGAAGAGATGTATCCTCAGAAGCTGCAGTGTGAACAAAGCTCCTGCTGTGTTTCCTACATAATCCAGCATCCTTAGTTTCCTGAGGGAGCATGTGCCTGGCAGGAGATTAAGTTTTGAGTTAGCCAAGGCCTCTCTATCTTGGCATTCATTATGACAAAATACATGACAGAAACAACTTAAGGGAGGAGAAGTTCTGTTTAGCTCACACTTCAGGGGATGTGGACCATCATGGTGCCCATGGTGGTTTGGTCCACAGCTTTAAGAGCTTGCATTAGTAACTCTGAGATCAGAGAGGAAGCAATAATGTTGGACCAGATACTGATCAAGTTACAGCTCTCGAAGGCCTGTGGCCTTGGTAAGGAAGTAGCGTTAGAATCCAGCCACTGCTCAGGCCACAAGACCCTGAGGAAATCCTTTCACCTCACAGACACTGACAGGCATCTGACTGAGACATGAGTTCGTAAGTCACAGACTTCCTGGTGTCAGGAACTCTCATCTACGGGAGTGATTTTATGTCAAAGCTGGTCCTGGTGGCCACACATCCTGCTCTACCCCCTTCCCTATCTCCTTCCTGGGACTCAGAGAGCCTAGCTACAGGCTTGTGCTGTGAAGCTACCCTCAGAAAGGTATGAGAAGAGACCCTCCACTTCTGTCATGTGGGCATCGATCTCCTTTCTTCAGAATCCACCATGCTGTCTGTGTCCTGGGCTGGATGGACAGCCTTAGCTCTGCTCAGGGCCTCTGTCATCTTTCTATTTGCCTGTTAATAATGTTTTTATTCAACTCCTTAATCCCTTAAAATCTGTCTAGGTATCCCCTCTTGAAAACCCACTTCTGAGACCTTTCACTGTGGGTCAGTTCTCAAACTGTGTCTCTCCCCAAAACAGTGCCATGAGCTGAGGACCGAGAGTATTGGGGACATTTCACTTTCCTATTATAAAATTCTGATCATTATGATAAAATGATTTTATTTGTGTGGGTGGAGGATAATAGTGAAGACAAGTTTAGGTTGGTGAAATAGGCCTGAAATCCCAGTTATTCAGGAGGTTGGGAAGAGAGGGTTAAAATTTCACAGATTTCCTGGGCCACAGAGGGGACTCAATGGTAGCCCAGAGATATCATCTAGAAAATAAAGACCAGTAAGGATGGGGAAGAGTTTTGGGGGAGATCCTCTGGGCTCATTTTACAGATACACGCACACACAGACACACCACCACCACAGAAACACCCACCAACACCCAGAAAATACAACCATTCTTATTTTCCTGATTCTTGATTCCTCCTCTGTCCAGAGAACACAAACAGCACTCTAACCTTTGCCACCATGAGTGGGGAGCTAAAGGCCAGAAGAGCAGAGGACAGGATTGTCTTGGACTTTCCTCTCTACCCAGCCTTCCCCCAGGTTAGCTCTTTCTCACTGCATTTACACCTAATTGTAACAAATACTGTTATTACCAAAAACTGCACTTAGTCCGCAGCTCTCCTGTTCAGCACTGACTGTATGTCTTTCTTTCTTCTAGGACTTCCATGAAGTAGAAGACTTAATAAAGGTTGGTGGAAAGAATCCAGTTAGGCCTTGTGATGTGCTCACTTGTTCGTGTTTGAACAGAAAGCTCTGGTGTGACCTGATCCCATAAAATAGCCCCTCCATCCTGGCTGTGTACCCACTGCTTGGGAGCCTAGGTGGTTTCAGGTCAGAATGTTAGCAATGTGTCTAACATTCATTGAGTTGCACTATTTCTTTCCTCAGGCTAGCTCAGGCTAGCCTTGAACTTGCAATTCTCTTGCCTCTCAAATACTAGGATTACAGGTCATAAAATCACAGCTGACTCATTTGGTTTAACTATTAGTGATACAACCTCCATAGAGGAACAGGACAAGATGGAGTGTTTGGGAAAGCCTGAAGGAGGCGGTGAGGAAGATAACAGGCATCCTCAGCCCCTTTGGACTAAGAAGGGTGACTCCCACCTGATGAAGGCAGTGTGCTTGCTGAGCAGAGGAGGATAAAGCAAGTTCTAACCGGAGGGCCATCCCTGAGTCCTGGAATTCCTGGAGCTTCCTACCTCTGCCTCCCAAGTGCTGGTGTCAAAGGAGTGTACCTACCTGTTTTGTTTTATTGCTTTTGAGACAGGGTCCCAGCCTGACTTCACATTTGCTGACTAGCTGAGGATGACCCTGAACTCCTGACCTCCCTACCTTTTAATCCTGGGTTTATAGAACATGCTCAGTTCACGGTGGTGCTGGGGATTGAGCCAGGGCTTCTGGCATCTAGACAGACATCTAACAACTGAGTAAGAGTTAGTTCTCTGAGAGTTTTGGTATGCTGTCACAGGCAGCCATAGGTGACACCCTGGTCCAGGATATTCGGTACTCTCCAGATACCAAGAACCTCATGGTCCGGCTCAACGACTCTTATAACAGGTAAATGCCCTGTTTTAACCATTTACATGCCAGCACCCAGATTTCCAGCTCTGCTATCTCCAATGCCTGACTTCTTTTGAGACAGGCTCTTCCTATATAGCCCTGGCTGTCCTGGAACTAGCTCTATAGACCAGGCTGGTCCCAAACTCACAGAGCTCCACCTGCCTCTGCCTCCTGAGTGCTGAGATTAGAGGATATGCCACCATGCCTGGACCAACCACTTCCTTTCCCATAGGCAGATGTCAAAGGCAGGCTCTCCCGTCCCTCTCTGAGCCATCTGGGCATAGCCCAGCCTCTTTCCTATGCTGTGTAGGGGGTGGTCTGTGGAATACTTATTGCTGATCCATTCTTTTTATGCTCAAGGTCCTTTCTAGAGAGCCTGAAGGTGAATACAGAACCTCTGCCTCGAATTGAAAAGACAGGGAAGGTGAAAGGACTCATTCTCACTCTGAGAGGAGAGCCTGGGGGGCAGACACCCCAGTATGACTTCTACTCTCGGTACTTTGCACCATGGGTTGGTGTGGCTGAAGACCCAGTGACAGGTACTCTTCCCTTGATATTACATGTGCTGGGCATAACCAGGTTCTTGTAGTCTTATTCAAAAGTTGAAATACAAGCCCAGAGAGATTACAAAGTAGTGAGGATGCTTCATTCAAAGCAAGAGTGCAGATCAGAAAGGGCACACTGTCAAGACTGATAGTGAGGTATGTGAACAAGCACCTACTGAGGGCTCCAACTAATGTTTGGAATATGTCCGTGTGTGCATGCTTGCGTCTGTCTGTCTGTCTGTCTGTCTGTCTGTCTGTCTGTCTGTCTGTCTGTCCTTGGATGGGCAGTATCTCCAGAGGCTGTGTAACCCTTGGAGTGTCACATAGTTGTGAACTGTTTAGTATGGGTTCTGGGAACTGAACTCTGCCCTCCATAAGATCACCAAATGTGCTGAACTGCTGAGCCATCTAGGTGCATGTTAGTAAAGGTCACTTCAAGGGTACAATGTAGCCTGAAGCAACATTTGTAGGCCTTGTGCCAGCCTGAACTGTAGGGAAGACATCAAAGATGGGCTAACTGTGTGCCTCCTACTTTCATTCTCCTTGAGGACAGCAGTGGATGTAGCCAAGGGTGGGGGTGACTGATGGAGGGTGTTGCTGGGGGAAGCAGGTTCAGGGCTGAGAGCCACTGGGAAGAGGCTGTGGACACTAAGAGCCAGGATGGCTCTGGAACCTTCACTTAGTCTTTGGTGAGGAACAAAACGGTCCAACTTGAAGGTCAGCATTTAAGCAGACTGAAGACTCAGGAACATGGCCATAGTGTCCATGTGGTCCAGTGAGTCTCTCCCCAGAGCAGAGGATCCCAGGCAGCATGCACACCCACAGCTGCTTCCCCAGACTGGGACAGACACCCAGTGTATATTGTGTGTGTAATGTTTTCTAAAATGTGAAGGTCTTTGGACCAGGAGGGATGAGCTGCTGGAATGGAGTAGGACTGGGGGGGTCTTGGGACAGGAAACTGGTATGGCTCTTTACTCTGAAGGACATCTCATAATTCTTAATGAACTTTTCTAGGGGAAGAGGAATTTCCCCACACTACACTTTACTCCCTCGAGATTTTGTTACTACTGACTTTTTCTTTCCTTCCCAAGAAAGGGTATCTGAGCCTAGCTTGGCTTCTCCAGCTAGCTGCGCATGACCTGGAACTCATGTCTCTACCTCCAAAAGCTAAGGTTAAGGGTGTGAGCCACAGAACCCTGTAGGACTTATTTGCATTTCATTTCTTCACTTTCATGGGTAATCTCTGATCAGGTTCTAGGGTAAATCACATGAGAAAATAGTGGCACAGATGTCAAGGGCAGGAGGAAAAGAAGTTCAAGACTAACTTCAGTTAGTTATAGGATAGCCTGGGCTACATGAGACTGGTCTTTAAAAAAGAGAACAGAGAATAACCCTGCAGTTGAATGCAGCTTCAGAGAAGGCAGAAGAGATTACTCATAACACCTCTCTCTCCCGTCCCTACTCCATACTCTGCAGTGGCCACCTTGACACAGGACTGGATGACCTAAGGTTTAGTCACACTAGATGAGTGGTTGTAAGTGTTGGTATGTTTAGAGAAACATCACTCCTGCTCTCTCATAGCTTGTCATTTCTTTCCAGGGTCCACCCACACTGTTCTTGGCTCCTACTGGTCTGAGGAGCTGGGGAAGAAAGAAATGCGAGGTAGGCTAGCTCTCCTCATCTCTTCCTCTCCTCTTTGGGTGCTTGGGTGTTGAACTTGGGTCCTTCAAGTGCTTGGTAAATGGGATACCATGGAGTCATAGCTCCAGCTCTTGGCTTTTTGAGATGGAGTCCTGCTGTGGAATTCAGGATGGCCAGGTGTGTGTCCCTGACCCCTGAGGGACCAGTTCCCCAGGGATGACTCTAAAACTCAGGGTCACAGAGAAGGAACTCAGCTGAAGGGAGCTACATTAGCCTGTCATCAGCACAGGGCTCTGACCCACAAGGCTGAGCTCTTGCTGAAGGGGATTATCAGTCTCTGACTGTGAGGTGGAGAACAGGGGTTTATTGTCTGTTCTTGGCAAGTCTTCTGACTTGATAAGCATAGAACCCCTGGAAAGCTGAGGCTGTGCCTCTCTTGGGCACCTACCTGGCCTCACAGTTGCTTTAACTTTCTACAAGGAGACAAACTCCATCTGACTTTTCTGAGCTGAGAAGGGAGGGAAGACATCCAGGACCCCTCTCTACACCTTCTTAGACTACCTTTCTCCAACTCCATCTCTTAGCATGTCCTTGAGGGCTAAGTGCTAAAGGGCGCTTTAGTGCTAAAGGGGCAATGCAGGAAGTAGCAGAAGAGGCCCAGGAAGGAAAGGGCCGGGCAGTGTGTGCATATCAGCTGTGCATCAGCTGCAGGAGAATGGGGGGGGGGCGGTAGGCTGTGGACACATGAAGGAATTTATTCTGGAAACTGGCCTATTTGGAATTCTAGGTTTGTAACACTTCCCTGTGTGGGTGGCTAATCAAAGGGAAACGCTCTTAATTGTCCTCACTCTGTGTTCTCTTTAAGCCTTTCAGTGTTCCCGCCGAGGAGGGGAACTGGACATTTCCCTGAGACCTGATGGACGAGTTGACATGAAGGGTGGCGCTGCTATTGTCTTAGAGGGCACACTGACAGTCTAGAGACACGTATGCTGGGCTGTGGCCACTGCAAAACACAGTGTTTCCTCTATACCAAATACGAAAAGAAAAACCCAAGCCAAACCAACAACAAATGCCCAGATGGGCTTCAGCAAGCCCAACGACCAGTGCCCTCAACCCTCTTGTGAAGAACAGAAAGGGAAGCCAGTTGTTGGAGGGCAGATAGTGTCTCCAGACTCCTTAGCTGATGAAGGGCTCTGGCCTCTGCCTGTGTGTGTCTTCAGGAACCCATAGCGGGAAGTGATGCTGTCACTTCTTTTGATTATGACTCCAACCAAAGTTAGAGATTCATTGATAAGGATAAAGGATAGAGATGAAATTTAAATTTAGGTGTGTGTAACCAATAGAAGATTTTACAAGCATATATATATATATATATATATATATATATATAATTTTAATTTAAAGACAGATTCTTACTGTATAGACCTGTGTAGACCAGGCTACCCTCTAACTCACAGACATCTGCCTGCCTCTGTCTCCTAAGTGCTGGATTAGTGGTGTACGCCATGATGCTCAGACTCATAACCTTTGAGAGATCCAATAACTTTGTGGAAATGCAGACTGTTAACACTAAAGAGAATAGACTGTAAACTGTTAGGGAGGCTGTGCTATGGCTGTGGGGAGTATGGAGTCACATGACTGTGAAGACAGCAAAGGGAACAGTTTGTGTGGGAAGAGTCAGAGTAATCCTAGTGTCTATAAGTAACAATCAGGACAGAGCTCAGGAAATTAAAACAAAGTCTGTATCTGATTCGATTATGTGATGATAAAAATAAAAACCAGGATCAGTGTGACCTGTGACCTTTTTCTCCTCTGTGTCTTGACAATGGTAAAGCCAAAGTCTTCTCTCGTTTAATAAACCATTAGAGGGGCCAGACCCTTGCCCAGCCCCCTACTGTAGCAGCCATGACAGGCTGCAGAAAAGACCCAGCAAGATGTGCTGAGGTTCCTGACCTTGCCTGTCCTCCCAGTCTCTAGGAGGTCAGATATCCTTCACATGGCAAGGAACCATGGGGGGACTCTGGACGTGCTTTTGCATCAGAATGGGTCTCTTGGTGATTTGGGGAATCAATTTGGGCACAACACCATGATTTAAATTAACATTGAATTTGGTGACTCTGTGATGTTGACTCCACGTGGGTGGATTTGGAGTAGATTTCCTCCTCAGGCAAGATAATTTTAAACCTGGTGTGGTGGAACATGCCTGGACTCTCAGTACTTGGGAGGGAGAGGCAGGAGGATCAAGAGTTCAAGACTAGCTTCAATATGGCCAACCTGTGCCACCTGAAACCCTGTCTCAACAAACAAAGTGTTTTGTAAAGCTGCATTCACTGATGTGAAGTCATAACCATTTCAAAAATTTCAAGCTAGTCTGGTTTGGTGCAGCAGTCTATAGACCCCTGACTTGTGTGGAGGCAGGAGGATTGTGACTTGAAGGACAATCTGGGATACACAATCAGATGGACTCACAAAACAGAGCAGAGCAGAGACAAGCACACACACACCCATCTGCTGACAAAGCAGTTTCTATGCCCCCTGCCCCCGATTATCAATTTTCACTGTGTTTTAAGTGATGCTGGGGCTAGAAGCAGAGTCTACACATGCCAGGCAAACACTACAAATTGTGTCACACCCCCAGTTCCAGGATGTAAATCCTCAGATCTTACTGGGGACCTAAAACTCAGAGAACAACAGATGACAACTTTGTGGAGTAGGTCTCTCCTCTCACCTTTGTGGGGACTGAACTGGTTCCATATTGCATGGTAAGTGTGGTCCGTGGTTGAGTCATCCTTATAAGGATTGACAGCCAAACCGGTGACTATCCTGTAGCCTCAGCTAATGGAGAAGGTGAGGCAGAGGGACCACTTAAGCCCTTCTCATCTCTCAAAAACATTAGGGATCAGGGCTGGGGAAGGGATGTACCTGTGTTATAAAAGGTATGCTTAGTCTACCTGAGTGTCTGAGCTTACCCCTACACACACACACACACACACACACACATACACACACACACACAGCACCCCAGAAAGTCTCCCATGTCACCTTCCCTCATCTCCAGGGTTTACAAGTATGTATGTGCATAGTCAGAAAACTATTTAATTGACATTTCAAAAACTTGCAAATGTAACTCCTGGTTTCTGGAGGTCATGCATTTTCTCTCCCAGGAGTGAGAGATGCTAGATAGAACTAATGAGGCTGAAGATCAGCCAGTCCCCAACATAATATTTGTTACATATTTTCTTTCTTTGAGCCTGAGATAGCCCAGGCTAGCCTTGAACTCAGGGCAGTCTTCCTGCTGCAGTGTCCTGCTATCACAAGCCTGTGCCGCTGAGCCTAGCTCACAAGCTTCCCTGTTACAGCTGTGAACACCTGATGCCAGGAGACACAAGCCTGTAATCCCAGCTATTCAGGAAGCTGAGAGGAGGGCTGCAAGCTAAAGGCCTGCCTAGGCTGCACAGACAGCTCAAGGCCAACACCCTGACCCCACAGGCTAGCAAGCTGAGTGGCTGAGCAGTTACCAGTTGTGTGTGTGAGGTCTGGGCTCCATCCCAGCTGCTAGAAGAGAACCGCACATCATTAGAGAAGCTTTGTTGCTTTCTGTGCTGACTCACACTATCTGATATAAAGAAGGCAATCCACAAGGACATCTTCAAACATTCGCATTAACAAGCTGAGACTCGATGGCAAACAGTGATGCTGATGGAGACACATCCTGGAAGATGGCTTCAATGACCAAGCTTCCTGCTTGTCTTCCAGGCTCCAAAGTTCAGTTAAGATGTGAGCAGAGCATATTACCACTTAAATCATTCAGTGTGTATATTTTCTGTACCAGACATTCTTCTAGCAGCTAAGTAAATTCAAAAGGAGAAAGGGAAGTTAGGTGTGGTGGTACAGGACTTTATTCCCAGAATTAGGGAAGCAGAGACAGGCAGATACCCAAGTTCAAGACCAGACTTAAGATCCAGGCTGATAAGGCCAGGTGTTGGTAGCACACACGTTTAGTCCCAGCACTCGGGAGACAGAGGCAGGCCGATCTCTGTGAGTTCAAAGACAGGCTGATCTACAGAGGGAGAGTTCCAAGACAGGCTCCAAAGTAATACAGAGAAACCCTGTCTCAGAAAAACAACAACAACAAAACAAACAAACAAAAAGATTCAGGCTGATAGTAAAAAAAAAAAAAAAAAAACAAGAAGAGGGAGACTTGATGTTGTTTCCTGCTGATGAAAACCCACTGTTTGCCGGTGGCACATGATGGCACATGCCTTTAATCCCAGCACTTGGGAGGCAAAGGCAGGCAAATCTCTGTGAGTTTGAGGCCAGCCTGGTCTACAAAGCTACACAGAAACCCTGTCTCAAAAAACAAAACAACAACAACAAAAAATAAAACGGTAATTCAATGCTGAAAACATTAGAGGATTAGTGTCTTTAAAAGGAAATGCATTGGAATAATCGTTTGGCTTTGTATCTGAGAAACCATTAACTGCGTGCATGTATGCACCAGTGAAACATTAACATTCTGGCGTTTGTTTTGGAACAGCAGGAAGTGAAGCAGGTTCCAGCAAGGCTGAGACCTTGCAGACAGAGCCGGTGAGGAAAATGAAGCTCCCAATTTTCATAGCAGATGCGTTCACTGCAACAGCTTTCCGTGGCAATCCTGCTGCTGTCTGCCTCCTCGAAAATGTAAGTACTCGGTTCTCAAGGGCCTTGTTGAAGTTCTAGATGTGTGGAAAAGATGTGAGACCATCCTGAGTGCTTGCTTCTTTGGCTTGTGTTTTCTGTCATGTTGGTGATGGTCATGTGTTCAAGTTAGGACGGGAATGGCTATACCTAGACTGAGTTGGAAGCATAGAGATTGGCATGCAGAGGAACTGGAGCCCATTGAAGAGTTGAAGAGGCGGCAGCACAGAGTGGGGGACCAGGCCTGTGACTCCAGGTGATCTGATACTCTCTTCTGACCTCCAGGAGCCCTGCACTCATGTATACAAACCCAGACAGAAAGTCTCTCTCTTTCTCTCTCCTGGCCTCCAAAGGCTCTACACTCAAGTGTACCGCCAGACAGACAGAAAGACAGACAGACACACACACACACATGCACACACACACACACACACTTTTTCTCAAAATAATCATCAAAATAGTTTTAAAAATCTCTCTAGGATCAAGAAAATAAGGTACTTACAGGAAATTAAGTAGAAACTAGAAGGAGTTGATCTCTAGGACCTGGAAAATTTGCCAAAAACCTTCATTGTATACATAGCTCTTTTGTGTGGGAGCAATGTCTCAGCAGGGATAGGTTCCTAGGCACCAAGTCCAAAGACCAGTTCAATCCCTGGGAATCACAGGGTGGAAGCAGAAATCTCCTCTGCAAGTGAACCCCTGACCTCACAGGTGTGCTATGGTGGACATGTGCCTCCTCCAAATAAAGGATTAGTTGAACTTATATTAGAAATATATAGGCTTTTGATTAGGATAATTGCAAATGGGATAGCGAAATATTCCTTGGCCTTCTGGGTAACTGTTGTTTTGTCCCCTGGGCAGTAGGAAGCAGGGAGCTTCCTATGACGATGGTCATCTTGACAAGCTCTAGAGTGGCCTTGGAGACACATTCTTGACAGGTCTGTGAGGGAGGCCTCAGATAAGTTACTTATATTGGGAAGACCCTCTCTAACTGGGCAACACTGTGGGCAGTGGATGAAGTCCTGAGTGAGTGTCTATTGTTTGCTATGAGCACAGCCATGTTAAGGGTCCCAGTGCTCAGAGCCATGGGAATTGTCAAGCCCTGGGTGAGGCTCAGGAAGAAGCAAAGCATCACTTGGTCTGTGTGGGAATGCTGACAGAATGTCTAGAGTAGGCAGCTGCAGCTTCCTCCTCCTAGGTCTGGTCACAGCCTATGACTGTCCCATACAGAAACTTGGCAGGGATGCCAGCTAAGGCCTCATCCCAGTGCTGTATGTAATAAACAGGCAGAGATTCTGGGTTGAGTAGGTGCCCTCCACTGGAACGAACACAGCCCACCCCATCCCAGCTTCTCTGTACATCTGTCTGTCATTTATTCATCCTCTCCTCTCCCCAGTCAGGTTACAGGGCCAAGCTGTGCCTTGGAAGGACAGTACAGTTTCGTGGTCGAGAATCGTTGACTGGGGTGGGTAAAGGTGGGATCCGTTTGTGTCTGATGAGCAGAGTTCAGTTCACTAGGGTTCAATTGGCAGCATATTGAAAACACCTGTATCCCCAGCATTCCTATCGAGACAGGGGAATGGAGACCAGAGAATCTTCTGGAAGCTTGTAGGCCAGCAACCCAGACTGCACAGTGCAGTGTCAGGAGAGTGAACTGCCCTGTGTTTGATCTTCACCAGAAAATTGTCCTCTGACCTCCACAGCCATGCCTGCTCTCTCTCCCTTCCCATTAGTGACTGGCTGTTCCACATTTCCACTACAGTGAGTGTAATCCCATATCTCCAAGTCAGAAATATATATTTGGCAGTAGTGGGGTTCGGGTGGGCGATGATGACAGGTTCTCTATGTAGCCATGCAATATAATATCATTGAGATTTGAAGGATTTAAATATTTGGTTTTCACCAGCTATTAAAAATTTGCATGGTTCTCTAAATTCTCTTCCTCTCCAGCACAGAACTCAGAAAAAAAAAAAAAATTGTTTTCCTCTCCGTGGTTTTGGAGGCTGTCCTGGAACTAGCTCCTGTAGACCAGGCTGGTCTCAAACTCACAGAAATCCAACTGCCTCTGCTTCACGAGTGCTGGGATGAAAGGCAGGCATGTACCACCACTGCCTGGCCCAATTCAGTAAAATTTTAACTTAATCTTTCTGTCTCCACCTCCTGAGTTTCAGGACTATTGGTATGTGCCACCATCCTCAGCTTTATTTGTTTGTTTAACTGCTTGAAAGGTCAGCAACATGGTTCAGCCAGTGAAGGCACTTATTTCACAGTCCTGACGACTGGCTGGAAGGTGAGGGAGTCCAAAGGGTTGTCTTCTGACGGACACATGCATACTGTGGCATGCATGCCCCAGAAAGTTAAACTGACTGCTTTGCATAGAAGAAAAGGCTTTTCTTATCAGGTGCTAACAAGGGTCTCATCTTAAGTACCGTGGAGTGTTGACACTGGAGAAGCATTTTGTATGTACTGCTGAGTTTAACTGTACAAAAATAGAGATGGCTCAGAGGTTAAGAGCACTGGCTGCTCTTCCAGAGGATCTGAGTTCAATTCCCAGCAACCACATGGTGGCTCACAACCATCTATAATGAAATCTGGTGCCCTCTTCTGGTGTACAAGTATATATGCAAGCAGAACACTATACATAATCAATAAGTCTTTAAAAACAAAAGGTGCTGGTGGTGGGATTGTTCCTTGGGGAAAAGCGCTTGCGCCAAGTCTGATGACCAGAGCTGGATCCTTAGGACACACGTGGTGAGAGGGGAAAGATATTAACTTCCACACAGTTTTCTCTGACCTCCACAAGGGCACGGTGGTATTCAAAAGCACACATATCCAGCCCCTTCCCACATTGAAATGTCTTTTTAAAAAATGTACATTTAGAGAAAAACAGTAGGTGGAGATGGTGGCACACACTCGAAATCTCAGCACTCAGGAGACTGAGGAAGTGGATTGTGAGTTTATATGTATGGAGATATCCTGGGCTACATAGTGAGTCCCAGGACAGCTTGGGCCTTTCAATGAGACCCTGTCTCAAGAAAAACATAGAGCAATCAGCCAGGCCTGAGTGTGCAGCCCCCGATCCAGGCTACTCAAGAAGCTGAGGTAGAAGAATCTAGTTCAAGACCCACCTCGGCATCTTAGAACTTGTCTACAAAGAAAAAGTAATCAATCAATTAATTAAAATTGGCCGTGGCCATAGTCCAGCAATAGAGCATGAAGCCCTAGGATTAATTCCCTGCATTTGGAAATAGAGAATTAAAAAGATAACAAACTGACAGAGGAACCTAGCCCAATACTCTGGATTTTTACACCTGTGGCTTTGCTAATTGCGATTCCACATAGGTGCTGTAGGCCTGGGTATCAGAAAAACTGACTGCATAAACATGCCTTGAATCACTCAGCACATAACATAAATTCCATAAGTTGAGAGTAAACTGCTGTTAGCTAAGGGTAGTTGGCCGTGCAAGGAAGTCTCCATAACATTTTGTTCCTAATTAAGACACTGGCTGAAGATGTCCATCAACAAATTGCAAGGGAAATGAACCTCTCGGAAACGGCTTTCATCAGGAAACTGAAACCAAGTGACAACTTCACACAAAGTAAATACACATTTTTCATTGATTCCTGGGTGGCTGGGGAAACATTGTCCTAGGAGGGAGGCTTAAGGAAGTGCTTATGTGTTATCTGCCTGCCGATGGCAATTGTGGGTTTTAGTTCATCTAGGAAAAGGAATGTTGAAGTTAAGCCTAAGTTTAAAATTTAAGGTTTCCCACTACCTAAAGCCATGTATTGGAAAATGGGCCCCTAGGGTAGCATATTGGTAAGTAGATCCTAAGAGAAAATAATGGAGTAATGACATTTCTGTAGGGGCAGGTTGGTGTCTCAGGATGGGCTTCTAGGACATGGGTGTTTGGCGCCCTCGTGTGTTGGTGCTTGCCCTGGGCTGATGCAGTGACAGGATGCTCTGCAGGTGCCAACCTGTAGACCTTGAACCTGCAAGCCATCCAGTCTATTACAGATATTCCTTTCTCCAAGAGTCACCCAACCAGTGGAGTTCTGTTACAACCACCCAAATGGACTAAAAGGGTGTTGATGAACCTAATGTTTCCACTGCAGACCTAGCCCCAGGGAGCCTGTGGATGTCTGATTAGTCTGCATCTGTCTTCTGCTAACAGTTGCTGTTAACCACACCAGCAAGAGATTTAAAGATGCTTCGAAGCTGAAGACTTGCCACTATGGGTCTGACCTGTGTCTCTTTGGCTTTCCCTGTTCTGAAGGTCCCTGCTTTGGACTAAGGTGGTTTACACCAGCAAGTGAGGTTCCTCTGTGTGGTCACGCCACCCTGGCATCTGCGGCTGTGCTGTTCCACAAAATAAGTAATATGAATTTCATTTCATGTATGCTTTTATTATGCATGCACATATGTCGTTGTTTTTCTCTGATCCAGGTAGTCCTGGCTGTCTTGGAACTCACTCTATAAACCAGGTTAGTCTCAAACAGAGATCCTCTTGTCTCTACCTTCCCAAATCTGGGACTAAAGATGTGTGCCACCACACCTGGCTCCCACTACTCAGGCTTGCCCTGGGTTCTCTCTGTAGCTGTGAGAAATGCTTGGTCTTCCTGCCCTAAATTCTCAGTACTAGGATTTCATGGATGGACCACCAGCACTCTAGAGGTAGAAGCAAGTAGGTATTTGTGGGTTCAAAACCAGCCTGGCATACATAGGGAGCTCCAGGTTAGTGGGGATTCCATAGTTAAGATCTTGTTTTGAAAAATAAATTAGAAATTATTAAAAAAAAAAAAAGAAAAAGAAAAAAGAGACCAGGTGGCACACGCCTTTGATCCCAGTACTCGGGAGGGAGAGGCAGGTGAATCTCTGTGAGTTCGAGGCCAGCCTGGTCTACAGAGTGAGTTCCAAAGGCTCCAAAGCAATACAGAGAAACCCTGTCTGGAAAAAGCAAAACTAAAACAAAACAAAACAAAAAGCCCAAAACCAAACAAACAAATAAAAAAACATTTAAAGTAGGCCTTGAATCTGTGGTGCCAGATTCAGTCTCTAGTACTGGAGGTTAGGGAAGTCCCCTGTACTGAAAGGATGAAAATACAGCCTAACTTTCTAATGACCACTAAAAGTTAGAAAGTTTTTTAAAAAGCCCATCAGCATGTATTTAAAAAATCACCCTAGCTGCATGCAAAGCTCAGGAAAAAGAAAAACACATGAAATAGCTTGGTCATGATGACAGGTTTCTGGAAATTATTATTATTCATAACCACCTACTGTCTGAAGAATATTGTTATCCACAACAGTCTGGGAATTGTTATGGGTCATCCTGTCTACAAAGAAAATTAATAACTAAAAGAGACGGAACTCATGGCAAGAAGGGAAAACTAGAAAGAACAAGTGCCTCTGCCAATAGATACAGATAATTCCCTGACTGGAGAGTACATTCTGCCAGCCACTCAAGGACAAGGCCACTGAGCCTGCTGGTCCTTGAGAAAGAAAAATCCCCTAACCTTGCAGGTACGCTAAATCTCTGTAACCTAGGAAACCTTATTAACCATCCAAGTTTTGAACTCTCCCATGACCTTGCTTTTAGGCCTAGTGAAAATAACAGGCTGGCTTTGAAACTGGCCTTGTTAGCCTTGTTGTAAATCCTATAAAAGCTATCTCAATTCTGCACTAGAGGTCCTCAGTCCTCTACTCCTGTGTGGCATATGACTGTGCACTTGGAATAAAAATTCCTCATGCTATTTGCATTGAGACTGCTTCTCGTGAGTGATTTGGGGTGTCGCCTTTCCTGAGTGGGAGCGTGAAGGTCCATGCTCTGCAGGTACCTTTCAGTACCAAGCTTATTTTCCTGATTCTTGATTCCTCCTCTGTCCAGAGAACACAAACAGCACTCTAACCTTTGCCACCATGAGTGGGGAGCTAAAGGCCAGAAGAGCAGAGGACAGGATTGTCTTGGACTTTCCTCTCTACCCAGCCTTCCCCCAGGTTAGCTCTTTCTCACTGCATTTACACCTAATTGTAACAAATACTGTTATTACCAAAAACTGTGCTTAGTCCGCAGCTCTCCTGTTCAGCACTGACTGTATGTCTTTCTTTCTTCTAGGACTTCCATGAAATAGAAGACTTAATAAAGGTTGGTGGAAAGAATCCAGTTAGAGCCTTGTGATGTGCTCACTTGTTCGTGTTTGAACAGAAAGCTCTGGTGTGATGTTGTTTGCCACCCTGATTGGTGGCATGAACCTGAAAGCGCAGGACCTAAACATGATGTGGACTAAAGTCTCATGCAATAGTCAACTTTTTTTCAGAGAATCAGACTATTCATCCTCTGAGGGTTAAGAAGAGTTCACCCCAGTCGAGCGTATACCCACAAGGCACTCACAAGGACAAGCTCACTTGGCAAACGTTTTTCCATAGAGGTGTATAAACCAATAGCAACAGGCAGTTGTAACAATCTGAAGTAAACTCAATCCTACCCACTACAGTTGGGAGGGGCACAAAAGCACATTCCAAGAACAATTCTGTGTGAAGAAACAGAGATCACAAGACTCTTGTTTTCCGGGTACTCAGAATATCACCTTGCATAACTCCATTCTTGGATTGTGTTCTAACATAATGTGATCCCCCAAAATGGGCCTCCTACCAGTGCAGGTGTTGCAGTGGAAGCCTAGGTAATTTCAGATTAGAATGTTAGTATTGTATTCATTTGGCAAATTGATTACTTTCATAGATTTGTAGTCATGGTGTAGCCCAGGCTAGCCTGGAACTTGCAGTTCTCTTGCCTATCAAATGTTTGCTGGGATGACAAGTTCATGCCATCACAACCAACACTATGACTATAAGCAATATAACCTCCATGGAGGAACAGGAATAAGAGAGTTTAGGGGAGAGAGAGACAGAGACAGAGAGAGACAGAAACAGAGAGAAAGAGAGAGAGAGAGAGAGAGAGGAGACCTGTAAGAGTCAATGAAGAAGGTATCAGGCATCTTCAGCCGCCTTGAATAACGAAAGGTTGGATTTCTGTTCATTCCAGCAGGAAGGAGAAATCAGCCAGGGGTGACAGTGTGCCCATACAAGTTCAAGTAGGAAAGCTTGGGGTTTTCTTTCTTTAAAAATTCCTTTACAGGCTAGGTGGTGGTGGCCCACGCCTTTAATCCCAGTACTCAGGAGGCAGAGGCAGGCAGATCTTTGTGAGTTCAAGGCCAGCCTGGTCTACAGGGCAAGTACCAGGACAGGTTCCAAAGCTACACAGAGAAACCCTGTCTCAAAACAAAACAAACAAACAAACAAAAAATTCTTTACAAGTTCAGTCCTGTATAGAACAAATTTTGGTCTTTTTTACGACCCTTACCATTCTTCTCTTCCCTCTCCCTACCCCACTGAAACAGTTCTTCCCAACAATTTCCCTACTTTTCACACCTGTGCGTCTGTATGTGTCTCTATGTGTGTATTTATGTGTGTGTCTGTATGTGTGTCTCTCTCTCTGTGTGTGTCTGTGTGTGTATCTGTCCCACTGAATCTAAACAGAGTTGCTTGCATGAGCACTGGGTGGAGGTGGACATTATTTACTGGAATCTGGACAATTTATATACCACTGACAAAATGACATCCTTTCTTCAGTTGCCATTAACTACCATTAGTCTATCAGGGGAGCTGCAGACTTCGTGAGCTTGTCCCTCATTCATAATGAAATGTTGACCAGCCTGATGATTTGCAGATAGCCATAGCTGCTGTGATGCTCATGAATGTAGTGGCCATGTGATATCTAGAAGATCCATCTGCAGTGCTCCCCCCCCCCCATCCTTTGACTTTTATACTCTTCCCCGTACCTCCTCCTTACTGTGTTCTCTGGACCTAATAAATGTCTCAGTTAGGGCCAAACATTCAAAAGCCACTTCATCTCAGCCTTTGACCAGTGATAAGTCTCTACATTAACTATTATTTACTCCAAAACTAAGCTTCTCTGACAAAGGCTGAGGATAGCACTAACCTATAGATGTAAACACAAGTATTTAGAAGGTTGTGTGATACATGTCTATTTACCAAAACCACAATAGTAGGTTCCTTCTTAGGGCCCTTGACCTTCCTAGCCATGGGCATTTAACAAGGTTCACAGTATGAGAAATGACTTCCATCCTGTGAAGCATGCCTCTAGTGGTTGATTACCTCCCATAACAGTCACACCACTATTACATGAGTGTTGGATTTTCTGTAGGAAAGACCAGTCCCAGCATCCCTTAGCTCCCTGTACAACCTGTGGGCAATTCCACCTGTCTCTACTCTAGAACTGATGTTTTCATAGCCTTAGGGATGAGCCTTGTGAGTCCTGTAATTTTCTGGGTTTCCTGGACTTTGTAGGTTTCCTTATGAGGAGCCTTCCTCCCTTCTCCAGGAGGGAATATTTCAATTGGTAACAAATAGCTACACAATAGCAGATAGTATCTAAGGCAGAGGGACTTCAGCCACAGGAGCTGGAGCATCTCAGTGCTTAGAGCAGCTCAGTGCAAAGCCTTCTAGTAGCTGCCATATCACTATTCCAACCAGAGGCTGGACCTGGTACCAAAAGGAGAGAACTAACAACTGCAATTTGTCCCCTGACCTCTACATTTGAGCCCACACACATACAGATATGCACACAAATAAATAGATACACACACACACACACACACACACACACACAGCACTCCAGAAAGTCTCCCATGTCACCTTCCCTCATCTCCAGGGTTTACAAGTATGCATGTGCATGTCGCCATACTTGGTCTTTTATGTAGCTCCTGGGGATCCATGTCCACAAGTAGCATTCTTATTCATCTCTCCAGACCCAGACTCTTTGTTCTGGAGCTCACCAATTAGGCTAGATTAGCTAGTCAGCAAGCCCTGGGGAGCCTCCTGTCTCTGTCTCCCCAACAGTGAGATAACAACTGTTAGTCATCATGCTTGGCTTTAAAAATACATTTTGTATCTGGGCAGTGGTAGCACACCCCGTTAATCCCAGCACTTGGGAGACAGAGGCAGACAGAGTCAGTTCAAGGCCAGCCTGGTTTACAAAGTTTCAGGAAAGCCAGAAAAACAAACAAACTTGAACTCAGGTTCTCATGATTGCAAAGCAGACAATTTGCCAACTGAACTGTCTTTCCAGCCTAACCATGAACTTTTCATCCTTTTCCTGGTTTATGTTGTGCTATGGCTCCATGCATGCTGGGCAAGCCATGGTGTGAGGTTGGAGGTCAGAGGACAACTTGCAGGAATGTGTTCTCTCTTGTCATTTGGGTCTGGGTGACTGAATTCAGGTTATGAAACTTGGCAGCAAGTACCTTTTCTCTTCAAACCATCTTTCAGGCCCTCTGAGGCATTTTTGATCTGTTTCACAGGCAGCCATAGGTGACACCCTGGTCCAGGATATTCGGTACTCTCCAGATACCCGAAAACTCCTGGTCCGGCTCAGCGACTCTTATAACAGGTAAATGCCCTGTTTTAACCATTTACATGCCAGCACCCAGATTTCCAGCTCTGCTATCTGACTTCTTTTGAGACAGGCTCTTCCTATATAGCCCTGGCTTCCTGGAACTAGCTCTATAGACCAGGCTGGTCCCAAACTCACAGAGCTCCACCTGCCTCTGCCTCCTGAGTGCTGAGATTAGAGGATATGCCACCATGCCTGGACCAACCACTTCCTTTCCCATAGGCAGATGTCAAAGGCAGGCTCTCCCGTCCCTCTGCTGAGCCATCTGGGCATAGCCCAGCCTCTTTCCTATGCTTTGTAGGGGGTGGTCTGTGGAATACTTATTGCTGATCCATTCTTTTTATGCTCAAGGTCCTTTCTAGAGAGCCTGAAGGTGAACACAGAACCTCTGCCTCGAATTGAAAAGACAGGGAAGGTGAAAGGACTCATTCTCACTCTGAGAGGAGAGCCTGGGGGGCAGACACCCCAGTATGACTTCTACTCCCGGTACTTTGCACCATGGGTTGGTTTGCCTGAAGACCCAGTGACAGGTACTCTTTACTTATGATCAGGGGTAATGTAACTAGGGAAAAGGAAGAATACACATTTCTACACACTGTGTGTAGTTCTTGGTGTTGTCAATGTTAAAGAATCCAGAACCACTTGGGAGATGGGTCTCTGAGCACAGCTCTGAGGGCTTACCTTGACTATGTGAATTCAAGTGGAGGAGCCTGTCTTAATTCCCTGATTGGGATCCTGGCAGGGAGGGGCTAAGCAGGAGCTGCATTTACGGCTCTCTCCTGACTGTGGCTGGGATGTGAGCAGCTGCTTCAAGCTCCTGCAGCCAACTGGGAGGCCATGAAGGGCCGTGCACCTTGACCCATGAGCCAAAGTAAACTCTGTACTCCTTAAGTTGCTTCATCACAGTATTTTATACCAGTGACAAGGAAAGGAACTAAAACAATTAGCCTTCATGTGACACTTCAGATGCCATGCTTTGATTTTGTTCTCTGAAATAGGGTTCCCTGTAACCTGGGCTGATCTCTAACTCAGCATGAACCAAGGATGACTTTGACTTCCTGCTGCCTCCTCTTGCCTCTACCTTCCAAGCGCTGCATTGCAGATGTGTGTTGGGGTTACAGCTGTGTGCCACCATGCCCGGCTGGGTGGCTTGGGCTGCCTTTGTTCTCTATCTTTCTTTCTCTCCCTCTTCCCCTTCACTGAAATCTGTGAAAAGTGATTTAAGAAGGAGTTCTGCAGCCCTGGCTCCCTTGTTCTTATCACCTGGACCTGTGACAAACCCCTGAAAAGTCTCAGTCCCTCCTCTGTGTGATGTGACTAATAACCTCAGAGGGTTAGGTCAGTACAGCACATGCCTGGCACATGGCAAATGCCCAGCAGACATTAACTATGTTCAGCTCTGCCTCTTTCTTCCCCCTCCTTCTCCACCTCCACCTTTCCTATTCTGGGGATGAGACCCAGGGTCACCTTGCTTGCTAGGTAAGTGCTCCACCACAGAGCTATGTCAACAGACCTACATTATTCACTAGCAATGCACCTAGAGCCCTGAGCCAACACTTGCAGACCTTGTACCAGCCAGAAGCAGAGGAGTGACATCAAAGATGGACAGGAATGGCACACCCTGTACCTGTACCCTCTCAGAGAATAGTGGTCTATGTGGTCAAGGGTAGGGGTGCTTGATAGTGGGAGTTGCTGGGGGAAATGGAGTTCAAGGCTGAAAGGGGCTCCAAATGCTAGGAGCCATGTGGCTCTGGTACTTCATTGAGTTCTCTGAAACAGCATGCATGAACACAAGCTTAGCAAAGTATTGCATAAGACTGGGGAAAATTGCCCACGATGGTGGCGCATGGCTTTCATCTCAGCACTCGGGAGGCAGAGGCAGGTGGATCTCTGTGAGTTCCAGGCCAGCCTGGTCTACAAGAGCTAGTTCTAGGACAGGCTCCAAAGCTACACAGAGAAACCCTGCCTCGAACCCCCCCCAAAAAAAAGACTGGGGAAAATGCCCATGGCTTCCATGAATTCCACTGAGTCTCTCCCCATTGCTGTGATGTAATGCCATGACCAAAAGCAAGTTGGGGAGGAGAGGGTTTATTTGACTTCAACATTGTATCCCTCCTTGAAGGAAGCCAGGATAGGAACTCAAACTGAGAAGGAACCTGGAGGCAGGAGCTGATGCAGAGGTCATGGAGGGATGCTGCTTACTGGCTTGCTCATCATGGCTTGATTAGCCTGCTTTCTTATAGAACCCAGGATCACCAGCCCAGGAATGGTACCACCCACAATGGACTGGGCCCTCCACCATCAATAATTAAGAAACCCCCTTTTAGCCAGATCTGTGGAGGCATTTTCTTGATTGAGGTTCTCTTCTTTCCAGTGACTCTAGCTTGTGTCAAGTTGACATAAAACTAACCAGCACACCATAGTAGCTTGTGTACACATAGCTGCATCCCCAAGACTGAGAAGCAGTGCACTTTTGTGTGTACTGTTTTCTAGAAGGTGAAGATGTTTGGACTAGCTAGGGTAGAGTGACATTGAGGGACTCTGGGACATGGAGCTTTTAGTGCCCAGTCTTGGGCAAAGCAGAATGTTGGTTATCATACTTAGACATCTCATAATGCTCAGTAAGCTTGTCTGCTGGGTGAGAAGAGAGAACGTCCTTTTTTTCCTCCCTAAGAACCTTTCAGCCAGTTATAAAAATCATAGCATTTTTACTTTCTTCTTTTTTTTCCTGTTTTTCAGGGTTGGCTTCATGTAGCCCAGCCTGGCCTCAGGCCCCCTATGTAGCTCATAAATCTTCAAAACAGGTTTCAAGAATCCCTATGTAGGACTACAGGCCTGCACCACCATGCCTGGCATGACTTTACATTTTGTTTTCATATGTAGTCTGTAATCTACTTCTAGAGTACAATCACACAACTAACTAAGGAGTTAAACTTGGTCTATAGAAAAGCTTGCCCAGCACACCAAACAATAACAAAACCCTGGCTGAAAGGAATGTTCTTTTTTGTCCACAAGGCCCTGCAAGGTTGAGCCTGTGTCTGAGCTCCTTTTCTTGCATATGTGCTCTAGGAGGAAGGAGATATGTTCCTCGGAAATTACCGAAAGGATTATATGAAGGCCTTACATTTCCTATCAAGAGCTGACAATGCTGCCTGGAGAGATGAATACCGCTCTTACAGGGGGCCTGAGTTCAATTGCCAGGGTTCACATCAGGTGGTTCTCAACTGCCTCAAACTCTAACTCCAGGGGAAAGAGCTGGCAATGAATGGTGGAGCCAAATTAAAGCCCAAAGCAGGCGTAGTGGCACACACCTGTAATCCCAGCACTCAGGAGGTAGAGGCAGGAGGACCAGGGTTCAAGACCAGTCTCAGCTACATAGAGAATTCCAGCCAGCCTGAGTGAAACGGAACCCTGTGTCAAAAAATAAGCAAGCAAATATCTGGAGTCTAATTCTTCAGAAATAGTAAGACATAGTTGATAGACTTTTTGGGAGAGCCCATTCCTGAACTACCATCTTCCTTTCCTTACTGCACACTCTGCCATGTCCTGGTTGACATTAGGATTAAATCAACTAAGATTTAGTCAAACTGCTTAAGTGATTTATCAGTTAACACAATCAGGGACACACACGTCCATTTTCTCTGCCTGTTCTCATAGTGTCTTACTTTTCAGGATCTGCGCACACCGTTCTCAGCAGTTACTGGTCCCAGCAGCTTGGAAAGAAAGAGATGCGAGGTAGGGTGGATACTTCCCTCTCTCTCTTCTTTTATGGGTGCTTGGGTGTTGAACTTGGGGCTTTGCAAATGCTTGACCAGAGTCAAAGCCCCAACCCTTAACTATTTGGGACAGTGTCTTGCTATGTAGACCAAGCTGGCCTCCCATTCGCATATACCTCTTAAGGGCTGGGACTGTGCAATACTATGCCCAGATCAAAATTTTTAAAAAATTTTTATTTCCAGCTCAAATTTTTCATTTGCCTCATTTTAGGCTCACATCTATTCTCATGTACACTAGCTCCTTAAAAACATAGTAAGAACTGAGCTGGTTGGTGGTGGTGCACACCTTTAATCCTAGCACTCAGAAGGCAGAGATAGTCAGATATCTGAGTTTGAGGTCAAACTGGTCTACAGAGCAAGTTCCAGGACATCCAGGGCTATATAAGGAAACCCTGTCTCAAAACAAAACAAACAGAACAACAACAACAGAAACCTACCAAAAAAAGCAAACAAAAAAGTAGATCATATATGTGTGTGTGTGTGTATGTATATATGTGTGTGTATATATATATATATATATATACATATATATCGTATATTATCGCTCATGTAAAATATCCCTGAAAGATCTCCCCTTCAGTAATCCCCCAATCCTAACCCTTTCCACTCCTGCCTTCCCAAACACAGATATTTCTGATAATGTAAGTATTTAATAAATCTTAATCAGTATAATTAGCTTGCTATGTAACCTTTGAGTTTGATAATCCCTTTTCTCTATTCTAGGTAATTGTAATAACTTCTTGAGTGCCTAGAAATCTGAGGTCATGCCTCTTTGGTGGGCCTGGCACATATGGTTGCTTTAATATGTTATGAGAAAACAAACTCCCTCTGTTTAATTCAGAGCTGAAGGTGGGGCCTTCTCAGAGGCCCAGGAAGGAAAAGGCCGGGCAGTGTGTGCATATCAGCTGTGCATGAACCTCTGGGTCTTCAGGAGAATGGGGGGGGGGGCGGTAGGCTGTGGACACATGAAGGAATTTATTCTGGAAACTGGCCTATTTGGAATTCTAGGTTTGTAACACTTCCCTGTGTGGGTGGCTAATCAAAGGGAAACGCTCTTAATTGTCCTCACTCTGTGTTCTCTTTAAGCCTTTCAGTGTTCCCGCCGAGGAGGGGAACTGGACATTTCCCTGAGACCTGATGGACGAGTTGACATGAAGGGTGGCGCTGCTATTGTCTTAGAGGGCACACTGACAGTCTAGAGACACGTATGCTGGGCTGTGGCCACTGCAAAACACAGTGTTTCCTCTGTACCAAATACGAAAAGAAAAACCCAAGCCAAACCAACAACAAATGCCCAGATGGGCTTCAGCAAGCCCAACGACCAGTGCCCTCAACCCTCTTGTGAAGAACAGAAAGGGAAGCCAGTTGTTGGAGGGCAGATAGTGTCTCCAGACTCCTTAGCTGATGAGGGACTCTCACTTCTCTTCCCTGTGGGCCACATAAACATATCCTCTCCATCCCCTGAGTTTCCAAAGACAAACTAAGGTACAATGCCACCAAAGTTCCCCCAGGGCACCAGTGAGCTATTGGTCTTAGTTACAGAGCACAGGAGAGGGGTTGCATAGACAAGCGTGGGTGTGCTCCTCTGAGAGGTGGCGCCTGGAAAGGCTTTTATCCAGCAATGGTGACTTTCATGTAGCAGCATAGGTGACCTTAGTCTTCGCTGGCCTATATCCCCTAGCCTGTTACTGGGGCTCTGCGTGGGATTAGGCAACATTTCATACCACAGATGGAAGGGAGAGGCTAGATACTCAGGGGAGGGAGGGTCCTGTGACCTCTCCACCACTCTACGAGGAGATAAAAGCAGAAAAGAACCCAGCAGAGATGATCATTTGCAAGTGGGACAGCTGAACTCTGAGTACCACCCAGAGTGACAGGCAGGAAAACATTTCACGATGTAATCACACTAAGAAAGGACAAGTAGGCTGGAGACTGTTAGGGAGGTTGTCCTATGATGATGAGGTATTTGGATTTGTATGAGCTGTGATGATAGCAAAATGAAACAGTTTGTGTTGAGGGACAATGTAATTTCAGTGTAGCTAAAATGAACAAAACAATGATTTGGGGGCTAGCAAGACTGCTGAGTGGCTAAAGCACTTGCTGTCAAGGCTGACAACCTGATTCAATTCCTGGAACCCACACAGTAGAAACAGAGAACCAGCTCCTGCATGTTGTCCTCTGACTTATATACAGATAGGTGCTGTAGAATGCATACACCCACACATGTACAAAAAACAAATAAATGTAATAAAAATCATCTTCTCCATTTTTACACTCATGTATAATAACTAAAACCTAGGGGAAAAAACTCAGAAAATTAATAGAGGAAAGGATGTATTGGGTGGGCTGGGGGCTTGATGAGTAAAACACTTGCCAGGCAAGCCTTATGATCAAGTTTGAGTTCCCATAATCCATGTAAAAGATGGATGCAGTGATGAGTGGCTGTAATTCTAGTGTACTTTTGTCAAGATGGGAGCATCCACCCCCCACCCTTATCCTTCCATCCCCTCTCCCTACCTCCACCCCCATTTACCTGAAAACTCACAGGCCAACTAGCTTGGCATTTATAGCACAGTGACAAACACTCAGAGAGACTCAGGCTCAAGCAAGGTAGAAATCGAGAATTTGCCACCATCCTGTCAGGCACGATGGTACACACTGTAAACCTGGTACTAGTGAGGGGAAAGCATGAGCTCCCTGAGACCTTTCTTCAAAAACCAAAAACTACAACAAAACTGTTAGAATCTATAGAAAGGGCTTGGGAAGCACAGCAATTATAAGTCATCCCAACAGAAGAGAAAGGGAGGGGGCTCCCTGAGCAACATCTCTTCATCAGCATGAGCTTCAGCACCATATGGGAACTTGCTAGGAAAGCAAAACCACCGGCCCTCTTTGGACCACTTGTGTCTGGAGCTCTGCAGCCTGGGGCCAGTACTTTGAGTTTAAACAGTCCCTCTAGCCAATGGGTTAGTGTGACACCTGCCCTGCACTCAGGCTTCCAGATATAGGGGCCATTTCATCACTCTCTTGATAATGGACTCTGCAACTCAATAGCATTTGACTGCTACAACTCAGAAGCTCCCTGACTGCACCAATAATACTTGCTGCTTAAAAGTGCAATTTTATACAGGTTGGTTTGGTGTTAGCTTCCAGCTCTGTCCAGCAGAGAAAAATTACCCTTGCTCAGGTGGGAGCTGTTCTGCAATGTGTTAGTAGCAAACAGATTAGTTAATCAGTCATGATTTATTCATGATGAATTAATTATACCTGGTTGTGCACCTCTGATAGCTAAATGAGCTTTGAAGGAGTTAGTTTATTAATCGTCATGGTGATAACTGCAGACACAGAAGGATCACTAATTAAACATGCAAACTGCATGCAGGACAAGTTGGTTTGCTGAGGCCACAAACAAACAAACAACCCCCCACCATTTTTTAAAAGGGGAACAAAACAAACTTTATTTTATGCAACACTAAGGAGTCCCCTTATGTTAATTAATCACATACTGCTTTCCAGCAGGAACTGACAACATACACCAGTGTATGTACATTTCTCTGTTTAGGCTTTGTTACGGGAGAATGTGTTGTTTGGTCATGTGCTACAGTTTGTTTATACTTTCTTCTGTTTGTGATGATTTACCTGGCTTCCAGTTTGGGGCTGTGCATAAAGTTGGTGTGAACAGGGGGCTGGAAAGATGGCTCAGTGGTTAAGAGCTACATGAGGGATGGGATTTGGATCCCAGCATTCATGTAACAGGCTGCGAATTCCACAAGTAGCTCTAAAGGATCCAACATGCACTTCTGGCCTTTGCCTGCACAGGTATGTGCAACCACACATATACACAGACACATAACTAAATAAAAATAAATCTTGAAGAAGTTGTACGCTTGTATTTGTCTTTTCTAGACTCCCACAGTTCTTACTGTGGGCATTATCCTTTAGAATGTAATTACTCTCCATACTGGAAATGGCTTCAACATATTTAATGGTGACACTGTCAAATGGTTCTTAAATGTAGGTGAAAGGGCTGGCTATGTGGCTCAGTTGGTAGAGGACCTGTTTAGCATGCATGAAAACCTGTGTTACATCCCCAGTACCACATTAAAAACAGATGTGATGGCTAGGCGTTAATGGCACACATCTTTAGTCCCAGCACTCTGGAGGCAGGCGAATCTCTGTGAGTTCGAGACCAGCCTGGTCTACAGAGCTAGTTCCAGGACAGCCTCCAAAGCCAGACCAAACCAAACAGGTGTCTACACCTGTTACCCCAGCCCTCAGGTAGCTAAGGCAGGAGGAACAGGAGTGCAAGGCCATCCTTCATCACAGAGTAAGTGGAGGGTCACTGTAGGGTGTGTAAGACCCTGTGTCAAAAAGTAATTGTAACTAAAATAAAAGGAGGCTGAGCAAGGGGCTCGAGCACAGCACTGACATAGCTGTGTGAGGTCCTGAGTTCAACTCCCAGCGGGGAAAAATATGAGGAAGACACTACTTTGGTCTAGGACCTGCACGTGTACACGAAAGGCACATACTACAGCATAAGTGCATGAACAGACAGACATATAATATGAAGAGCCCCCTGGTTTCTATTAAACACTGTATTTTCTATCTTCCTCAAAGTAATGTGTTTATGTGTGGTGTGAGATGGGGAAATTTTCAAAAATGAAAAGAAAGAAAGAAAGAAAGGAAAGAAAAGAAAAGGAAGAAATCTTGGTGGAATTCTCCATATCCTATAACTCTGGCATCCTCTGAGCCTGCAAAACTAGCATTATTTGGACAGTGCTGAAGTCTACTGCTAGCTGAGCTCCTAATATGAGAGCAGGGCAGCCTCCGAGTGCTGGGTACTATGCACAGTCAAATCCCAAGAAAGCAACTCCCTGTGTGAGAAGGATACTAGCAGTTTTCTCTTCTCAAGGAAAGTTCTTCCTTTAACTTGTTACATTTTATTTGTAAATGTGTAGGCCAGTGCCTGTGTGTGTGTAAGGAATGGATTGGCTAGGATGAGAATGGCTCCCATAGGCTTATACATTTGGATGCTTTGGCCCTGGTTGGTGGAACTGTTTTGGTAAGGATTAGAAGAATCAGCCTTGTTGGAGAAGGTGTGTCACTGAGAGAGGGCTTTGAACCTTCTTGAAGATCCCTTGTGTTGTTTTTAAAGGAGCAAAGATGTCTTTGAACCATTGTCACCAAACATGGATCATCATCACAGAGTTGAAAATACTCATCCCACTGAGCCAGGAGAAACCTACAAGGGACCAGAATCCAAGGACTTTGTGGGCTCTCACCCAATGCCACGCAGAGGAGATGGGCTACATGTTCTCTGTTTTGCAGTCACATGCTGTTTGGAGGGCAACAGCATTCCTTAGCTTTCAGTCTCCTGAAACGGTGCCTGGAACTCACTGTGTCCTGAAGCTGCTTAACATTCTGGGGATGCCAGAGTGGCTACGGCTAGGGATGTGTGTTCTGTGACTTTGGGCAGTAGCCAGTCAAGGTTATTGCAATACCGTTGGGCCAGGTTATTTTAAGGTACAATTGACAGTTTGTGAATTTCACCAACTGGAGGCTCTTCCCGGTTAAAGTCATGATTTCAGCATAAAAGAAAAGAAGGGCTAAGTTAAAAGCCAGCACCTGTTCTTCTAAAATTGCTTTTCTGCAGGTACCAGCCCCAGAGGGTCGGCAGATGGTTTTGTGTTTTGAAGCCTGACCTTAGCAGCCCTTCATCAATCTTGAGCTGGTTGCCTCTCCCAGGCTTCCCAGGGTACCCAAGGTATCTTTGATGTAGTTACTACCTGAAGACCAATTAATTAGCCCACACCGATTCTGTTCCGTTTTCCCAACAAAGCTAGGAAGCCCTGGCTTAGCCTACCTGGGGCAGCTTCATGCAAGCTCATTAATTACTGTCAGACCAGACATGGGCACTCCTGGAAAATGGAGAAGAAAGCTCCCATCTGCACCAGGGAGAACTGGTGGTCTCCAAGGCCTGTAGCTAGCTCTCCTGTGCTGGATGCTATGCCATGGGGCCCCCCATATTGAAAAACATCCATCCAAAGCATTGGATTCACCAGCCAAGATTCCCATCCCATCCCACCCATGGCTGCCAGGTTCTCACGAGGGAAGTAGCTACCTAGCACTCTTTAAACAGTTTTTCTTTTAGGTTTATTTTATATGTATGAATGTGTCCCACAGGAGTGCTTGGAGTTACAGATGGTTGTGAGCCATCATGTAGGTGCTTGGAAGTGAACCCAGGTTCTCTGTGTGAAAGAGTTCTTAAACACTGAGTCATCTCTCCAGCCCCCAACTTTGTTTTTTTAAGTGTAGGAGCTTCATTTATTTTTCTTTTGGAGTCAAAGGGATTGCACTTTTTTTTTTTAACATTTATTTATTTGTGTATGTGTGTATGTATGTGTGTATTCATGTATATATGTGTATGTGTGTGTATGTGTGTATATATGTGTATGTATATATGTATGTATGTGTGTGTATACATGTGTATGTATGTGTGTGTATGTGTGTGTGTGCGTGCGCTTACAAGAATACTTCCATGCGCACATGGAAGAGGTTAGAGGACAACTTGCAGGGGTTGACTCTCTCTTTCCATCATGTGGGTCCTGGGGAGTCTCAGGTCTCAAGACTTGGTAGCAGGGTGATGATGGGCACCTTTATCTTGTGAGCATGTGCTACTCTTCTGAGACATGGAGTGATTGATTAGTTGACTTTAATCTCAGGTTATCCTCTGGAAGAATGCTGTGGAGAGCTCACTTATCCCCTTATGTCTCCATGATGTGAGGCTCTTTTGCCCTGTACTCAGCTTCCTCTCCCCTCCTCTCTGTGTATTCTTTTTTGTTGTTTATAGACAGGGTTTCTCTGTGTAGCCCAGGCTGTCCTGGAACTCACTCTGTAGACCAGGCTAGCTGCAAAATCAGAGATCTGCCTGACTCTGCTTTCTGAGTGCTGGGGTTAAAGTTGTGCACCACAACCCAGCAAGACCAGAGTCTTCAAGATTTCTCTCTACTAAGACACGCTGGTGGTGCAGGGCTGCCCAGTGCCAGCTACTTCAGAGGCCAAGGCAAGAGGATTGCAAACTCTCAGGAGCAGCCTGGCAACCGCAGGGCCCAGCAGTTCTCAACCGTGGGTCAAGACCCCTTTGAGGTGTAAGACTCTTTCACAGCAATGGAATAATTTTATGGTGTGTGTGGGGGTGTCGGCAAATGTGATGAATTAACTATTAAAGGGTCACAGTGTTAGGAAAGTTGGGAGTCA